TTGCGTTACGTGGCCACTGAGGCCAACCTTGCTGATGTGTTCACCAAGGCGCTTCAGCCTTGTGACCATCAGCGTTTCTGTACTCTTCTAGGCCTTGTGCCTGCTGGACCTCACTTACTTACTTCTTGACTCTGCTTGTACTGTGATCTTTATATATATGCCTGCATGTTTACACTTGCTAGGTTGTGATCACTGTATCTCTTGCTATATTATCAACCTGCATGTGAACTGGTCTTGTGACCACTTGCTTGTGCTCGGAATTTGTGTGGTATCCTTGAGATCCACCCTGAGCTTGTTTTGCTTTGCTTTGACTGGTCTTGTGACCCCTTGCTCTCCCCCACTTTGCCTATGGGTGTGTGTCAAACATTATATATGTTGTGTTTGTTTAGGCTACAGTGGGTTAGCCTATAGGGGGTACACAATTCTAGGGTTAGGTACTGTCAAACATTATACATGTTATATTTGTGTAGGCTGTAGTGGGTTAGCCTATAGGGGGGTCACAGCATTAGGGTTTCATATTTGTACTCACAATCTTTGCTAGTTCATCATTCCAGTCTGTTATTCCTGACATGGTATCAGAGTGAGTCGGGAAGGGGAGGGAGCACCCTGGGAAGACCAGCAACAAGGTCCCGTTTGTGCATGGCCCGAAGGCGCTGCACAGACGGGTGGCCAAGGCGGTGGTGCCAAAGGACAGTCTCATGCGCCAGAGAGCGACACGAGCAGGGGGCGGACAGCTGACTTGACGCAGACGCAGACGCGGACGCAGCTACCTGAGGGGACTCAGTGGTCAGTGTGTAAAGGTCCGACCCCGGCTCCCGAGTGAAGGTAGCCAAGTGGCGACCCGTCCGAGCACACGTGTAGTGTGTCACGCGCTCGTAGGCAGGGGTGAACTGGTGAACACCCCCGTCCTGCAGCGCACAACCTGCCACCAAGTTCGTAGAGAACGAGGGGAGGTAGAGACCTGACAGCATGCCGGGTTCTCCGCCTGTCTTCAAGGCGCGTTACGTGGCTCGAGGCTTCAGTCAGCGAGAGGGAGTTGACTTCTTCCAGACCTTCTCCCCCACCCCGAAGATGACCACTCTTCGGGTGCTGCTGCACATAGCCGCTCACCGCGACTACGAGCTTCACTCACTTGACTTCAGCACTGCTTTCTTGCAGGGCAGCCTGCACGAGGAGATCTGGCTGCGCCGCCCACCTGGCTTCACTGGGTCGTTTCCTCCTGGTACCCAGTGGAGGCTTCAGCGACCGGTCTACGGTCTCCGCCAGGCTCTGCGTGAGTGGCACGACACACTGAGGACTACACTTGCGGCTCTTGGGTTCGCGCCTTCTACTGCTGACCCGTCGCTGTTCCTACGCACCGACACTTCGCTGCCGCCTTTCTACATCCTCGTGTACGTCGACGACTTGGTCTTTGCCACTGCTGACACTGCAGGACTCGCCTACGTGAAGTCGGAGCTGCAGAGGAGACACACGTGCACAGACCTGGGTGAGCTGACAAGCTATCTTGGCTTGCGGATCACCCGGGACAGAGCACGGCGCACCATCACCCTGACTCAGTCACACATGGTGCAGCAGGTTCTCCAGCGCTTCCGCTTCACGTACTCCTCGCCTCAGTCCACTCCTCTGCCTACCAGTCACTCGCTCTCAGCTCTGCCTTCGGATGAGTCCGTAGAGCCGAGTGGCCCGTATCCAGAGCTTGTGGGCTGCCTCATGTACCTGATGACCTGCACTCGTCCTGACCTTGCATACCCTCTTAGCATCCTTGCACGCTATGTCGCTCCTGGCCGTCACAGGAAGGAGCACATGGATGCCGCTAAGAGGGTGTTGCGCTACTTGTGCAGTACGTCGGGCATGGGGCTTGTGCTTGGAGGGCGAGACCGAGTTGTTCTCACAGGGCACTCAGACGCTTCTTGGGCAGACGACCAGGCCACTCAGCGGTCGTCTCAGGGTTACACCTTCAGCCTTGGCTCTGGCTCAGTTTCTTGGCGCTCTACGCGCTCTTCTTCTGTTCTCGGCTCCAGTTGTGAGGCTGAGATCTACGCCACAGCCATGGCTGCCCAGGAGCTACGCTGGCTGACCTACCTGCTGACCGACCTCGGAGAGCGGCCTCGTTCTCCTCCAGTGCTGTACGTCGACAACAAGGCTGCCATTGCCTTGTGTGAGGAGCACAGACTGGAGCACAGAACGAAGCACATCGCTCTGCGGTACTTCCTTGCTCGAGAGCTGCAGCAGCGCGGTCAGCTTTGTATTCGCTACGTGGCCACTGAGGCCAACCTTGCTGATGTGTTCACCAAGGCGCTTCCGCCTTGTGACCATCAGCGTTTCTGCACTCTGCTAGGCCTTGTGCCTACTGGACCTCACTTACTTACCTCTTGACTTTGCTTGTACTGTGATCACTATATATATATCTACCTGCATGTTTACTCTTGCTAGGTTGTGATCACTGTATCTCATGCTCTGTTATAAACCTGCATGTGAACTGGTCTTGTGACCACTAGCTTGTGCTCGGAATTTGTGTGGTATCCTTGAGATCCACCCTGAGCTTGTTGTTGCCTTGCTTTGCCTTGACTGGTCTTGTGACCCCTAGGTCTCCCCCACTTTGCCTATGGGGGTGTGTCAAACATTATACATGTTATATTTGTGTAGGCTGTAGTGGGTTAGCCTATAGGGGGGTCACAGCATTAGGGTTTCATATTTGTACTCACAATCTTTGCTAGTTCATCATTCCAGTCTGTTATTCCTGACATATTATCAACCTGCATGTGAACTGGTCTTGTGACCACTTGCTTGTGCTCGGAATTTGTGTGGTATCCTTGAGATCCACCCTGAGCTTGTTTTGCTTTGCTTTGACTGGTCTTGTGACCCCTTGCTCTCCCCCACTTTGCCTATGGGGGTGTGTCAAACATTATATATGTTGTGTTTGTTTAGGCTACAGTGGGTTAGCCTATAGGGGGTACACAATTCTAGGGTTAGGTACTTGTACTGATTTCACTGCTAGTTCAATCATTCCTGTCTGTTGATTTCGACAGGCTCGTGTTCACCCCCGTTATTCATCCGAATAAGGTCGACTGCATGAGTCGGAACCAGTAATCGGTGGGGATGGTGAGGTTCGGGCGAAGTAGGGCCGCAGATCGGTTCCACCGGCTTTTATCTGCTCCCCACGACGTTCTTCAACCCTTGCTTAGCCGTTGGGCAGTTTCTTCACGCGTGTCCCGGCGGCCTGCACCACACTCCGAAATTGTCGGGGTGGCACGTTGAACACCGTTTAATCGTGGGCTGTTGCGGCTGTCCCCGAAAACGGCTTCCTTGAACGGGGAAACCGATCTCGAAACTGTCGAACAGCTGGCAAGCAGCTCCAGGCACGCAGCAACAAACGAGTATTTCTCGGGTGTTCAGTCCCGATATGCCCTCGCGCCTGCGCCCCACTCCTGCTAAGTGCGATTTAGCCACGTCGTTGTCTGTTGCAGCCCGTAAGTGTCGGCGGGTCCAAAGTTCCCGTCTGTCCACAAGCACTTCTGCCGAAAATCGTCGACGACTCGCCCGCTTGTACGGTAAGCGCCGCACTATCTGGTCGGACGGGATAAAACTCAACCCCCGCATAATTCGGGCGGCTTGAGCGTCTATCTCTCCAGCCGTCGGGATCCTCTGACGCAAAACTCCATTTGCGCCTGGCGAGTCCTTCGAGCTGCCCTTTTCTTCACAGTAGAAACCTCCGAAATTGTCGCCCATGCTGACGCAGGCCCGTTGTCGCCAGCTGCCGAAGATTCTCCCGAGAATCTCGCGCACAAGATGACGGCTTGCCATCGACGTCACTTGCCGCGTAGGGACGACTCCGAAATCTTCGCGCAACTGTTGACGCAGATCCGCCAACGCCAGCTGCCACTCGTGATGACGACGTCGATGCTGTTCGTGCAGGTGCCGACGCAGGTCCGCTGACGCAGGCTGCCACACGAATCAAGCTCCGAAATCGTCGGAAATCGCAGCGGAAATTACTCACTTTAATGTCGCGACAGCTACTGCTGCCCGTCGCCCGGGGGGAGGGAGGTCATGGTCGATCGCGACCGTCGAGCTAAGGATCTGGCGGTGCCGAAGGAGTGCCCCGTAAAACCATGGCCGCGAAGAGCAACTAACTAGTTCTCTTGGCCGGCCTACGCAACTCCTGGACCCCAAGGCATCCTTACTCGTCCCCCCCCCCGAGGGGTAATACACTCTAAAAAGCGGGGTAGGCTAGGAAAGTAGCTCTGATACCAGGTGTTATGAATGAACTTGTCAGAGTGCGCAGATATCGAATAACGAGAATGAAGAATTACAGAATGATTTAACAATGAAGTAGCGATGCCTAAATAGGGGAAAACCTAGCTAGGCGGGGGGTTCGGGATGGGATGGCTCGGTGATGGCCACGATTGGAGCGGAGGCCGACTCGGGGGTGGTTCGGTGCGACGAAATAGGCATCGCAGGTTCGTCGCGACACCCTCGGGATGTCCTCGCTAACAACTTACTACAGTAAGGAATTCTAATTCCTTACAGTGTTACACGTTATAATGGTGGTTACAGTCGATTCTGCGAGACTTGCGTTCCCACTTCGCACGCAACTCATCCATTCCCATGAGACTCGCCATCACCGTGCCTAGCAACTCGCAAGTGCCCGCTTCCATCCCGCGCATCGCGTTCGTCGTCTGGCTTCAGCATGCTCAGCGCCGTGAAGTTCGTCAGGGTTGCCGGCGCGGGCGAGAAGAGGAAGGATGACGGAGGGAGTAAGGCGAGGCGCAGCAAGGAGTCGGACGACTCCAGCGACAGCGAGCGCGAGAGACGGCGAAAGAAGTGGAAGCGGGAGAGGAGCGGGAAGAAAGGGAAGAAAAAAAGGCGGCACGGTAGTGAGAGCGAGGCGGCGGAGAGCGATTCGGAGAGCGAGGATGGGCGGGCGACGAGGAGGGCGAGGAAGCGGGAGGAGCGAAGGAAGAGGCGCGGCAAATGGATTGAGGATGACTCCGAGGGATCTGATGAGGACGGTTCAGATGACTCCGAGGGATCTGATGAGGAGGGCGACGAGATGCGGACTGGTGTGACGGCAGGTGAGCGGCGAGTGGTGCAGAGTCATGTGACTGGCGCGGCGCTTCGTGTGCCCTTGTCCCCTCGCTGCTCCCCTTGCTGCCTTCCTCCTGCAAAGAGCGCATTGCACTCAGCTCTCTCTCAAGGTATCCATCCCATTCCTGTTCGCCCTTCCGTGCTTCCATCGCCACCCTGGGGCGCAGGCTCGGGTGCAGGTTCGGGTGCAGGCTCGGGTGCAGAGTTGGGTGCGCGGTCAGAGGGAGCGGGGCAGGGCGCGCAGCAGGCGCGCGAGGCAGCGGGGCTGGAGTGGATGCTGCACGCCCCGGAGCGACTGATGGGGGAAACGAGGGCGGAGGAAAAGGAGGAGGAGGACGGCACGAAAGAGGTGAGGGGGAAGGGAGGGGCGTTGCACGTGGGTTGGTGGGTGCTTCACAGCCTAGCGTCATTGCCGCCTCTGCGCTACTCACTGCCAGCCCTGTCTCCTCCCCTTGCTTCCTATTGCTTTCAGTGTTGCTCCGCCACCCCTCACTATGCCCCGCCTCTCCCCTTGTCTGCGCCTTCCAGCACTCATATCCCCCACCTTGTTCACTCAACACCCCATGTCCCCTGCGCCATGCCATGCCCCCTGCCCCCTGCCACCTGCCCCCTGCCCCCTGCCCCCTGCCCCCTGCCCCCTGCCCCATGCCCCATGCCCCATGTCCCCTGCCCCCTGCCCCCTTCCCCCTGCCCCCTGCCCCCTGCCCCCTGCCCCCTGCCCCATGCTCCCTGCCCGGCATGCGCAGGTGGTGTTGGGAAGCAGTGCGCGCGAGCTGAACCCCTACTTCAAGACTGGCGATGGCTTCCCTGACTCCGCCCCTGCCCAACCTGCCACCCACCCTGCCGCCCAACGGCCGGGCTCTGCCCGCCCAGCAGCGCCGCCCGCGGTGGGCGATGGCGGCGCCAGCTGGCGGCTGAAGGCTCTGCGGCGCGCCAAGGAGCAGGCAGAGCGCGAGGGCAAGCAGCTGAGCGAGGTGAGGGCAAGCAGCTGAGCGAGGTGAGGGCAAGCAGCTGAGCGAGGTGAGGGCAAGCAGCTGAGCGAGGTGAGGGCAAGCAGCTGAGCGAGGTGAGGGCAAGCAGCTGAGCGAGGTGAGGGCAAGCAGCTGAGCGAGGTGAGGGCAAGCAGCTGAGCGGGGTGAGGGCAAGCAGCTGAGCGGGGTGAGGGCAAGCAGCTGAGCGAGGTGAGGGCAAGCAGCTGAGCGAGGTGAGGGCAAGCAGCTGAGCGAGGTGAGGGCAAGCAGCTGAGCGAGGTGAGGGCAAGCAGCTGAGCGAGGTGAGGGCAAGCAGCTGAGCGAGGTGAGGGCAAGCAGCTGAGCGAGGTGAGGGCAAGCAGCTGAGCGAGGTGAGGGCAAGCAGCTGAGCGAGGTGAGGGCAAGCAGCTGAGCGAGGTGAGGGCAAGCAGCTGAGCGAGGTGAGGGCAAGCAGCTGAGCGAGGTGAGGGCAAGCAGCTGAGCGAGGTGAGGGCAAGCAGCTGAGCGAGGTGAGGGCAAGCAGCTGAGCGAGGTGAGGGCAAGCAGCTGAGCGAGGTGAGGGCAAGCAGCTGAGCGAGGTGAGGGCAAGCAGCTGAGCGAGGTGAGGGGAAGCGAGGGAGAGGGGGTGAGTGAGTGAGGGAGGGAGGTTGGCGGGAGGGACGGAGAGGGATGGATGGAGGGAGGAAGGGAGTGAGGTGAGGGGTGGTTGTGGGGGCGAGGGGATCCAAGGATACGTACGGGTGCAGGGTGGGTGAGGTATAAGTGGAGTGGCACTACTGGACTCTTTGCTTCTCACATGTCCGCGCCCACTCGCCCCCCATACACCTCGCTGCCTCCATGCTTCCTACCCTTGCTTCATTGCTTCCATTGCCGCTGTATCTCCCACCCCTCCCCCACCCCTCCCCCACCCCTCCCCAACCCCTCCCCCATCCCTCCCCCACCCCTCCCCCATCCCTCCCCCATCCGTCCCCCATCCCTCTGTTGGTGTTAGCCCTCAATCTCACAATTTGTACTTGTACTTTTATATCCTAGTTTAGTTTAGTGTAGTTTGCACTTTGTGTTTGGTTGGGTGTACACCCACATCCCAACCAAACCCAAATGTAATCTCCAAGCAATCTCCAACCCACCAATTGGAGATTGCCTTGGGATTACCCCCCAGTCCCTAGAGATTGCCCCTAATTCCCTCCTCATCCATACCTTGCTCATTTCTGATGTACTTGGAGCTTGGAGCTCATTACTAATGTATCAGTTCTAAGCCTAAGTTTTGACACCCTCCCCCACCCCTCCCCCATCCCTTCCCCATCCTTCCCCCACCCCTCCCCCATCCCTTCCCCATCCCTCCCCCACCCCTCCCCCATCCCTCCCCCGTCCCTCCCCTCCCTCCCCCACCCCTCCCCTTCCCTCCCCAGGTGGTGTCAGACCGGTGGGGCTCGCTCTCCTCCCTCACGGCGCGCCTCTCCTCCGCCCGCGCTGCCCCCGCCTTTGCCCACAAGCATGCTGCGCGCGATAGAGAGAGGGGCGCTGGGGGGGATAGAGCGGACGAAGGGGAAGAGGCGCAGGATGGGAGGGGAGAAGGAGAAAGGGAGGGGAAAAGGAGCTGGGGTGGTGAAAGTTCGCGGATTGAAGATGAGGAGGAGGATGGAGGGAGAGGTGGAGAGGGGACGGGTTGGAGAGGCAGGGAGGGAGGCAGAGACAGGGAGGGAGGCAGAGACAGGGAGAAAGGCAGAGACAGGGAGGGAGGCACAAGGGACAAGGGCAGCAGAGGCAGGGGAGGGTGGAAGCAGGAAGGGGAGTGCGAGAGAGAGGGAGAGGGGCGTGGCAGGAGGGGTGGGCGGGATGATGGTGGTGAGGAGGAGGACGAGGAGGAGGAGAGGCGGATGAGGGGCGGCAGGAGGGGATACCTGGAGGGCGTGTCAGCGGGGGCGAGGGCAAGCATGCGGGTGCCGCAGCAGGAGTCAGTGTCGTGGCGCCGGCAAGGAGAGGGGGGCCCACGAGGGCCGAGGGGGAGAGCGGAGGACAAGGCGAGGGAGGGGGAAGGAGGCAAGGGCGAAGGGGGCGAGGGTGGGAAGGCGGCGTGGAAGAGGGTGGGGGCGTGGCGGCCTGGCATGGGCGTGGGCAGGCGGGGCGGGTGGGCGGACGGCGTGTTGGAGGAGGCAGCTCGCAGCGTGAATGCCTTCCCTGACGACGGTGGCTTCCTGGCTCTGCAGCTGGCCCGTGCTGACGGCGCGGGGCCAGGTGTGGGTGGAGGAGAATCAGAGAAGGGGGTTGGGGCTGGGGAGGACGCGAGGGGTGCAGACGGTGGTAGGAGAGGAGCAGCAGGGGAGAGGAGGCGGGATGCAGTAAGCAGTGGTGGGGCTGGAGGGAGGGCAGAGGAAGCAGCCGCAGGTGATGGGGAGAAGAGTGAAAGGAGGGAGGGCGGTGAGGGAAGGGCGAGTGGGGATGGTGGAAAGAGGGGTGTGGGAGAGGAGTTGGGGAGATGTTCGGCAGGGGGAGGGGATGGCATGGAGAGCGGTGGTGGGCGAGGTGGTGAGGCTGCTGTGGACGCGGGCGATGCACGCGTGCAGGAGATACTGGCAGAGGGACTGACAGCCAATCAGATGGCAGCAAAGGCCATGCGGCTCAAGCTGATGGGCAAGGCTGAGGAAGCCGACTGCTGGCAGGTGGGGTGGGCGCAGGTGGGATGGGCGCAGGTGGGATGGGCGCAGGTGTGATGGGGCGAGTGGAGGATGGCAAGGGAGTGTGGCAGTGGAATGTGGCGGAGGGAGTGCGCTGTAATAGGTGCAGGAGCTAGCGCTACCTGTGGGGTGCTGTGCAAGGGTGCGTGGATTTTGATTCATGGGTGCATGGATGCATGTATACGTGTTTGGCAAAGAAGTTTCTCTGATGTTTTTTGTGGTTTGTCTAAAGCTTCTCTGATGCATTGACGATGCTTGATCCCGATTGACCAAATCGTCAACTAGCCTATGTTTCCTTTTCACCATCGCCATCCCCATCCCCATCATCCATGCATCTCACAGCGAGCAGCAGCGGCCAAGTCCCAGCCCCCTCCACCAGCACCACCGCCCGCGCCGCTGGCTGCACCGGCCACATCCACACTGGAGCCCCGCGCCCTGGGGGAGGGCAGAGGGGACGGAGAGGGGGAGGCGGGGGAGGGGGAGGGGGAGGGGCGGAGGGAGGTGGTGCAGCTGCCGCTGGTGGATGGCAGGGGGCGGTACCTGCCAGCTGTCATGGCGGCACGGGAGGGGCGGGACGAGGTGCAGGCTGGGCGGCGGGAGAAGCGTGTGGAGCGATACGATGTGGAGGCGGGCACGGGGCAGCGCGCGAGGTGAAGGGGGGACGGGATAAGGGGAGTTGACGGGGTTGGGGTGAGGTGAGGGGGACGGGGGCGAGGGGGGTGGGCGAGGTGAGGAGGCAAGGTAATAAAGGATTGTTCAATGACTTCTTATTGTGTTTATGGTGAGATGAGAGGGGTTAGTAAGTGGGAAATAATTGAGTCAATGTTATTCCTGCTGTTGGTCTCATGCCGTTTCTTCCCCTGTTTAAGTTTGCGTCATGCCTGATTATTTTCTGCTCCTGCTCGCTCTTTTCACAGTTCCTGCATGCGTAATCATTTAACTGACCTCTCAGTGGCCCTCACCTTCTCTGTGCCAGCTGCCTTGCCTTGCTTCCCAGCACAGGCTTCCTGCTACGCGCGTGGGGACTGTGGGTTGGAGGCGCTCCAACATGGGTAGTTGGCGCAGAGGAGAGATAATGGAAGGACAGGAGGAGTGAGAGGAGCGAGGATATGAGGGGATTGGTGAGTGACTGGAAGAATTACTCTTGATCACATCCGCCTCTTCCCCTGCCCCTTGGGTCTCTCCCCCGTGCCGCCATTTCTCTCCCACTGGCCCCGCAGGTACTTCTTGGACGATGACGGGGCGTCGCTGCGCCAGCTGGTGGCGGCGGAGCGGGCGGGCGGTGCGGACGACCTGAGCAGCTGGGATCGGCGCGTGGCAGCGGGCATTGGGCGGGCGGGCGGGCGCTACAAGGGGCCCGTGGAGGTGGATGATGAATACGACTGGGATGAGGGCCTGCAGGCTGGGGGGGGTGGAGGGGGGCGGAAGAAGGGCAGGTGAGCTGACCTGCATGGGCGAATGGACGTGTTTGGATTGTGGCTGTGCTCCGTGTGCATCGTGCTTGCACCTTGCTTTGATGCTCGCCCCTCACCTTGTTGCTTGCCCCTTGCATCTCCGCCCATGCCACCCTCACTTTCCACTCAGCTTGGCTCCCCCTTGTGTCCATCTCTCACCACCACTGCCTGCATCCCCCTAGCAGGCCATCACAGCAGCAGAGGGAGAAGGCGGGGCAGGTGGGCGAGTTCAGGCGGCAGGCAGCGGTGCAGCAGCGCTGCCAGCAGTGCATCGACAGCCCTGCCCGCCCACGCCACCTCGTGGTGTCTGTTGCCGCCCACAGCTACCTCATGCTGCCACCCGCCGGCTCTCTGCTGCCCAACCACGTGCTCATCGTGCCGTCAGAGGTGAGCCACGCCCTGCAGTTGCCCCACAAGGCGCCCCTCACACTCAAAACCCCTGCTACAATGCCCATGCATGGGTCCTCGTGCCCCACACGCGCTCACTCCCTCCGCCCCTCGCCTTCCTCCCCTGGTGGTGGCAGCACGAGGGCAGCATGCGCGTGGTGGAGGAGGCGGTGTGGGACGAGGTGCGCAACTTCAAGAAGTGCCTCACGCGCATGGCCATGGCCATGGCCGCTGAGGAGGGCGCGGGGGTGATCTTCCTCGAGACGGCCGTGGGGGTGGGGGGGGGTGCGGGGCGGCAGCGCAGGCACTGCTACGTGGAGGCCATCCCCGTGCCCGCTGCTGTCATGGCGCAGGCCCCTCTCTACTTCAAAAAGGTGGGCCGCGCTGCATGGCATGCACGGCACGTACATGCATACAGTGGCACTGACATGTGCTCGCTCTCCACAGTTCCTACTCTGATGCCCCTCGAAGTGGCAGATGGGTTGGGGTGTGAAGTCAGCACACTGGAACGTGCGTTAAGAAAAAGGGGTTTCGTGGCATGAGCTGTAATGAGATGGAGGTGACTGCACACACCCACGCTATGAGAGTGGATGGACGGGTGTGGCCTCAGTGGCGGGTGGGAGACGCATTCCTACTAGTACTGGGCTCACGTCCCTGCTGCAGTGCAGCGCAGTCGTTTGCCGCGCAATGGCAGCCACGATGTGAGGAGCGACTTGGAATGGATGGGATGGAGGCACAAGAGCTGACACGTGCCTCGCATGCAACCCGCCACACTGTGCCATGTGCTCACATCTCACGCCCTCTCACTGCCTAATGCGTCTTTCCTTCTCTTCTTATCCCTACTCCCCCCCCTCCCCCCCCCCTCCCTTCCCCCTTTTCCTTTCCTTTCCCCCACCCACGTGCGGCAGGCGTTGGACGAGGCGGAGAGCGAGTGGAGCGAGCAGCACAGCAAGCGCATCATCGACACGCGTGCCATCAGGGGCGGGCTGCGCTCCGCCATCCCGCCCAACTTCCCCTACTTCCACGTCGAGTTCGGCCTGCAGGTCAGCCCCCCCCCCCCTGCCCGCTCGCCATGCTGTGCGCCTATGTGGTGCTGCATCAGTGTTGCTGAATCCATTGTTTGTGCATGGCGCTGGGACATGGTGCATAGGGCATGGCGGCAAGCACATGGCACGTGGAAAGTGGCAGATGATGCATTGCACATGGCACATAACGACACACAACCCCCTTCTTGTGTAGCAGATGGCACATGCCACATGGGACATGGTACATGGTACATGGTACATGGCACATGGTACATGGCACATGGTACATGGCACATGGTACACATGGTACATGCCACATGGTACATGGCACATGGTACATGGCACATGGTACATGGTACATGGCACATGCCACATGGCACATGGTACACAGCACATGGCAAATGGCACACAGGCAGGCGGTTGAATCAGGAGTACGAGCAGGCAAGACCAGCAGCCATGACCACGTGGCCTCATTGTTTGCCACTCCCTCTTCAACCCGCCTGCTCCACCTTGCTGCTCATCCCATCCCTCTTCCCCCCTGGCAGGGCGGCTACTGCCATGTGATTGACGACGAGAGCTCCTTCAAGCCGTCGTTCGGCCGCGATGTGATCGCCGGCATGTTGGAGATGGACCCTGAGAGGTTCGGCGGGAGAGCACGCGCCAGAGGGGGTCGGGGAGGGGTGGGGTCGCGCCCGCAGGAGGTGCAGCAGAGCGTTGCCAAGTTTATAGAGAGCTGGAAGCCGTTTGATTGGACCAAGATGCTTGACTCGTGAAGCGTTGATGGGATGTGGAGACACAATTCAGAAAGAATATATTACCGTATGTGTAAAAGCTACGAATGATGTGGTGTGGCCATTCATGAGGTAAAATCTGCGCATTGCGTTTATCAACCTCGGAACTTTTTGTAAGGAATTACAATTCCTTTTTGTTCTCGCACTTTAGCGAGTACATCCCGAGGGCCATGCTGTCAAACATATATGCTGCTTATTGTGTAGGCTGTAGTGGGGTAGCCCATATGGGGTACAACCCAAATTAGGGTTTCCTACTTGTACCCATCTTCTTGCTAGTTCATTCATTCCTGCTGCTAGATTCTAACATGGTTTCAGAGCACTAAGGTCCGTAGGACCGTTTTTTTTTCGGGCCCACCTACCGCTGCGGTTACCGCGCTACCCCACGTACCTGCCTGCCTTGCCTTGCCTTGTGACGTACTGCGCTACGCGCGCCGTCCAGCAGCCCTAGCGCTGCCTCCTGCTGCCCTAGGCCAGCGCGCTGCCCCTAGAGGCCCGTAAGGCCCGCGCGCCGCCCCTACACGCCCTTCAGGCCCGCGAACAGCCCCTGCAGACCCGTTAGGCCCCCTGCTGCCGAGCGCTGCCCGCACCGAGCCCGCGCAGCCCGCGCCGAGCCGCGCGCAGCCCGCACCGAGCCGCGCGCAGCCCGCAGCTGCCGCGCGCAGCCCGCGCCGAGCCCACGCAGCCCGCGTCGAGCCGCGCGCGGCCTGCTACGGCCTCGCGAGGCCCGCGCGCGGCCCGCAGCAGCCCATGCCGAGCCGCGCGCGGCCTGCTACTGCCTCGCGCGGCCCGCGCGCGGCCCGCAGCAGCCCGCGCCGAGCCGCGCGCGGCCCGCTACTGCCTAGCGCGGCCGCGCGCGGCCTGCTGTCAGCGCAGCCCGTGCGGAGCCGCGCGCGGCCCTCTGCCTCGGCCCCGACCTGCCGCTGATGCGGCCCCGCCCTGCAGCTGCCACGGCCCCGACCTGCCGCTGATGCGGCCCCGCCCTGCAGCTGCCACGGCCCCGACCTGCCGCTGACGCGGCCCCACCCTGCAACTGCCGCTGAAGCGGCCCCGCCCTGCAGCTGCTTCGGCCCTACTCTGCAGCCGCTCTTGCGGCCCCGCCGTCGCTGCCGTCGTACGCCTACCCGGCCGCCGCCCGTCGAGCGCCGGCCCTTTCCAGACTTTGGTGAGCACCTGCCTGCCTGCCTGCCTGCCTGCCTGTCTGCCGGCCTGCCTGCCTGTCTGCCTGCCGGCCTGCCTGTCTGCCTGCCTGCCTGTTGGCCTGCCTGCCTGCCGGCCTGCCTGTCTGCCTGCCTGCCTGTTGGCCTACCTGCCTGCCTGTCTGCCTGCCGGCCTGTCTGCCTGCCGGCCTGCCTGTCGGCCTGCCTGTCTGCCTGCCTGCCTGCCTACCTGCCTGCCGGCCTGCCTGCCTGCCTGCCTGCTTGCCTGCCTGCCTGCCTGCCTGCCTGTCTGCCGGCCTGCCTGCCTGTCTGCCGGCCTGCCTGCCTGTCTGCCTGCCTGCCGCGCCTGTCCGAGCTGCCCGAGCGGCTGCTACTACTCCTACTATTAGCAGGTGGCCAGATGCACCTCAAGCGTCGTTCCCGCGAGTCTCTCACGCCCCAGCAGCTTGATGAGTGGTATACTAGTTGGGGCTGTCGAGGTAGCCGTCGTAGCAGTCGCCCTGGAGCTGGTCAGTTGGGAGCGTCTGGCAGTGGCCAGCTGCAGCTGCAGGGGCGTCCACGCGAGACACTTACGCCCCGGCAGCTCCAGGAGTGGTACGCTCAGTGTAGCAGGTCTTCGCGTACCGTTCGCTGCCCGTACGTCATTCGCACAGGTGTTAGGACTGGTCAGCCTTGCGGGACGCTTGGTCACACACAGTCCCGCTGCTTCGCCCGTCTGAGCGACGCCTGGCGTACCGTGTTTGGAGACGAGGCTGAGCTCCCTACCTGGCCGGAGCTGCTTGGACAGAGGGTAGATATCTTTGCACTTGACTATGATGCTATTCTCACTGCCATGTATGCATTGCCTACTAGTGTTGACCGTGCCTGTTACCTGTGCGTCCCGCCTGACCCTGGTATAGCGCCTGCTGCTCTCGGTACTGGTGAGGCTGCTGCTCTAGGTGCTCGTGTGTCTCCTGCTCTAGGTGCTGGTGAGACTGCTGCTCTAGGTGCTGGTGAGTTTGCTCTCTCTGGTCTTGCACACCTTCACCCTTGACTCAGGAGCTTCCCGCTCTTTCTTTCGCGACTGCACCACACTCACGCCGCTCAGTCGGCCAGTTCCGGTCTCCCTGGCGGACCCCTCTGGGGGTCCAGTCCTTGCCCACTACTCCACGGTTCTGCCGTGTCCGGCCATCCCGTCTGGCTTCCTGTCAGGTCTTTACCTCCCCTCGTTCTCTACGAACTTGGTGAGTGGAGCTGACCTCCAGGATCACGGGGTTGACCAGTTCACTCCTGCGAGTCAGCGAGTGACTCACTGTACGTGTGCTCGGACGGGCCGACACTTGGCCACGTTCACCCGTGCACCTGGCTCGAGTCTGTACACACTGACCACTGAGTCCCCTCAGGTAGCTGCATCTGCGTCTACGTCTGGTCAGCTGGCAGCCCCCTGCGAGTGTCGCGCTTTGTCGCACGACACTCTCCTATGGCACCACCGCCTTGGTCACCCCTCCCTGCCTCGCCTTCGTGGCATGCACTCTCGCTCCCTGGTTTCTGGTCTTCCCAGGTCTCTGCCTGCTCTCCCTCCCTCGCCTACGCCGCCCTGCATTCCTTGCGTCGAGGGGCGGCAGCGCGCCGCTCCTCACTCCTCCTCGTTCCCTCCCACAGAGGCTCCCCTGCAGACACTACACCTGGACGTGTGGGGCCCAGCCCGCGTCCGTGGACTGGGCCACGAGCGGTACTTCCTGCTGGTTGTCGACGACTACACGCGCTACACCACGGTCTTCCCCTTGCAGAGCAAGGGGGACGTCCCTGCTGTTTTGATCCCTTGGATCCGTGCTGTTCGTCTCCAGCTCCGCGACCGGTTCCAGCGGGACTTTCCTGTCCTGCGTCTGCACTCTAACAGAGGTGGTGAGTTCACCTCAGACTGTCGGATGTCCACTGGTGATCCCCGATTGATCCTAGGGAAGGGTTACAGGCACGTTGGCCTGGGGGGTTATGGGCGCACTCACCCGCTACACAAACAAGCCATTTTATCCCAGTGGTTAGTGACTGAGATTCTGACATGGTATCAGAGCGAAGGTCTCGGGTTCGAATCCCGGTGTGTGCACCTCGGGCATCCCAGTGCGGGGGGGTGTCAGAGGTCCACTGGTGATCCCCGATTGATTCTAGGGAAGGGTTACAGGCACGTTGGCCTGGGGGGTTATGGGCGCACTCACCCGCTACACAAACAAGCCCTTTTATTCCAGTGGTTAGTGACTGAGATTCTGACACAGACCTCTTGGCAGCCTACTGTGCGGAGCACGGCATCCGCCAGTCGTTCACGCTTCCGGCCTCTCCGCAGCAGAATGGGGTTGCTGAGCGCCGCATTGGCTTAGTCATGGAGGTCGCTCGTACCTCCATGATCCATGCGGCTGCCCCCCATTTTCTGTGGCCGTTTGCGGTCCGGTACGCCGCGCATCAGCTCAACCTTTGGCCCCGTGTCTCCTTGCCGGAGACCTCGCCCACACTGCTGTGGACGGGGAAGGTTGGCGATGCGTCGCGTTTCCGGGTCTGGGGTGCTCGTGCCTTTGTCCGCGATACCACTGCGGACAAGCTCTCCGCCCGCGCTGTTCCCTGTGTCTTCCTTGGCTTTGTCCCTGACGCGCCTGGTTGGCAGTTTTACCACCCCACCTCGCGCCGTGTCTTTGCGTCTCAGGACGTCACGTTCGACGAGTCGGTTCCCTTTTACCGTCTCTTCCCCTACCGCGCTGCCCCGCTCCCCCCCCCGCCGCTCTTCCTCGCTCCAGGTGCTCCCCAGGTAGACCCCCTCCCCGCTCCCGGTCCTGCTCCTTCAGGTGTGTCTCAGGTAGACCCTCCTCCCTTGTCTGCGCCGGTTGAGGTCACTAGTGACTCAGGTCCTGCTGAGGGTGGTCCTGCTCGGGGTGCTACTTCTGGGGGTGCTGAGTCTGGGGGTGCGGAGCCTGAGGGTGCGGAGCCTGGGGGTGCTGAGCCTGGGGGTGCTGAGCCTGGGGGTGCGGAGCTTGAGGGTGTGGAGCCTGGAGGTGCTGAGCCTGAGTGTGAGGGGTCTGGGGGTGCTGAGCTTGGCAGTACTGAGTCTGGGGGTGCTGCGCCTGGGGGTACTGAGGCGTCTGGTGAGCAGTCTCCCTGGAGTGGCCGTCTCCGTAGTCGCTCTGCTGGTGCCTCGCCGCTGCCCTCTCGTCGTCGACTCCCCCTCTCCTCCCTGCAGCGGGTTGAGTGGTACCTTGGCCGTCAGGGCCGCGCTGCTGGAGCTGGTGACTCTGCTCCTGGAGCTGTTTTTCCTGGAGGCTCTGCTGCTGCTGAGGGTGCGGGTGCTGGAGGTTCTGGAGCTGCTGGAGGTCCTGGTGCTGGTGGCGCTGGAGCTGGAGGTTCTGGAGCTGCTGAGGGTACTGACGCTGGGGGTTCTGGAGCTGCTGAGGGTGCTGGCACTGGAGGTTCTGGAGCTGCTGGAGGTGCTGGCGCTGAGGGTGCTGGCACTGGAGGTTCTGGAGCTGTTCGAGGTGCTGACGCTGAGGGTTCGGAGTCTACTGTTGCACGGTCTTCTTGGAGTGGCCGCCTTCGTCCACGTGTGCCTCTCACCTCACAGCAGCTGCACGACTGGTACGGTCGCCGTCAGGGTCGCGCTTCTGGAGCTAGGGGCTCTGCTACTGGAGGTACTTCTGCTGACGTCACTGGAGCTGGGAGTGGTGCTGGTCTCGGAGGTGCTCGTACTGGGGGTACTGGAGCTACTGGGGCTGGAGGTGCTGAGCCTGCGGGTGCTGCTGCTGGGGACACTGCGGCTGGAGACCCTGGGACTGGGGGTGCCGGTTCTGGGGGTGCTGCTGCTGGTGG